GGTGAACCGGTTCCACAGAAATACATGTCGACATGTGCTAGCGTTTACAGCTCCCACTAGCGGGCGTCAGTAATCATGACTATATCCGAGACAAATCCATGCAAGATTTACAGAAAAACCCGAATTTCACAATCAATCTCGAATTTCAGAACAAACCGGAAAATTTCCATGCGGGCATGGATTTAACAGAAAACTCAGAATTTGCAAACTCTCAGTTCATCAAAACAGTTCCGTCAATTCCCAAATAGGCATGCTCTATTCTAGAAAAACAATGAAATTCTCATTTTCATTTCTCAATCATGCTCATTTCCAGAAAATCAATAAAATCCTCATTTTCATTCCAATCATGCTCAATTTCAGAAAAACAAGGAAATTCCCATAAAAACCATTACAATTTCCATTTCAGTTTAATCACATTCAGATGCTGATAAAATCAATTTAAAATCAATTTAAACCTTGCCACCATCTCAAAAACAGTTTAAAACATGCTTTAAAATCGAAGGGCTTTACCATAATTTACTTACCTTACTCGCACAGAACAGAAGGCTAACCCAAGTGCTACGATAACAGAACGATCAAAACCTAATCACAATATTCCAAGAATTAATATCGCAATACCATAAATTCAAACTGAAATCATCATCAACACTACCCCCAATCACAGTGCTATTTCTATCAATCTCCACATAACCGAACATCTCTAATTTCATTCTTATATCACAAACTAAACCTTTAAATCCCGTTAATCGTTAACCCTTGGTGTGTGAACAGTGTTTTGTGAACAGTGCCGTGAACAGTGTTCGGTGAACAGTACCACGACGTGAACAGTACTGCCACTTCCAAACATTAGCCAAAACACTAGCTAATCATGGAGTTTTCTTTCCAAAAATCACACAACAGTCAATTAACACTCAATTACCTAAATTCCACTTAAATCAATACTTAATTTCATCCTAAAGCTACCGGAATTCCTCCCCAATTTCAGCCAAATTCGGACATCACAGGGGCAGCCA